TGGAACCGAAAAAAATTGAACCGAACCGAACCGACCCGCGCCCACCCCTAAATTAAATGATGATTTTGTCATTTAGTCAATTAAAATATCTTGATTTTTTTTCTTTTTTATTAATGTTGGTCAAAGGCCATCTTTGTAAACATTTTATCCAACCCGGCTATTAGGTCAAATTTTCCTTTAATATTTATTAGTTGGGTCATATGGGATGGACGCGTGTCTAGGTCGAGAAATTGTAGCACTTTACTTGATTTGAGAGGATAAGATACTCATTCGCCGGATGAGTATCTTGTAGCAGTAGAACTCAACGTAAACTTGTGAGAAAGGAAAACATTGTACGTCATTTTATCAAGTTTGCATTAAAAGTAAAACGCTGTATAGAGTAATTAGTAGTATGAAAATTAATGTTTGCTTATTAAAATAAATAAAAAGTAGAGAATGAGTTGCAGTTTGTATGTATGAGGCAATCCTAATTGTAGCATGAAGTTGACGTAATATCAGACACATCTTTATTTAATGAATGATGTAGGACAATTGGTATTAGAGTTTGAAGAAAAATTGGATCGAAAATTGGCAAAAAGAGCTGTTTTGAAGAAACTGACATAACTTTTTACACCGGTGTCAGAATTTCTATTATAATATGTTTTCGAAAACATCTTGCAGTGCTCTACAACGTCCCAATCAGGGGTTCCCTGGTTGACGTCGTTTTCAACCTCAAATTTGCAGTTTAAGACAATCTACCGAACAATTGACGTTTTTGTTTTTTTCGTTTTTAATTGTTTTAATTAAGTGGATATTTATTTTGGTCTTTTACTTAAATTAGGGTTTTCAGGGACTATTTAAAGGCTCTTTGTTTTTCTAAATAATACAATTCCCTTTTTGAGGTTATTTTATTGAGATTTACAATTTTCTTTTTTTGGGGATTACACTGGTAAACCCTAGAACTTCAGTTCTGCATCAATGAATAATTTTACGTCTCATTTAATACCACATTAGTGTCATCTAAATTGATATTTTAACACCAATGATGATAAATAGCCAATATACTTCACTTAAGTGTATCAGTTATATTTTAAGTAAACTTTTTATTTTCAAACATAATTTTATTTAAGTAAAAAGTTAATTAATTTTGCTAGACAGGTAAAAGTACTTTCAAAATATCTGTTAAAACATTTAATTGTTTACTTATAAGTAAATCTTTTGAACCTAGCCAAACATGCCAGTCCATGGACATCAATAAATCAGATTCATCGGTCTTTAAGCATTGTGTTACAATCACGAACTATACTATGAGTACATGAAAATTTCACAGAATACATATAGAAATTTGAAATGGATAGACTGGATTCAAACACGGAGGAGAGAAAACACAAATACACGCATAGAATTTTTCCAATTCAAAATTCTGTACAAAATCTGGCAACATTTCCT